TATTTTTAAGAACTAAATATGAGTTGATTTGATAGGATAGAAATAGAAAAGTGGTAAACATGGAGTGCAAGAAATAATTGAATCATGATGTGCTCTATTGAATTTAAGGCCATACAAGGAAAGCAGATCATTGCCACAGCGAGAAGTACCTTGCCTTCCAGAGTTGGCAAATATAAATGAAAGAAAAGAGTGAGAACGCACCACAAATTCTGAATGAGGAGTATCTGGGGAGAGGGAAGTGAAAGGTTTGGATTTAATCTGGAAACAATGTAATGGAGGTACTGGAGAATAGAAAAATAGGAAGCCAATAACCTCACCCGGAGGATGACACCCAACTTCAGTTATGACAGCCTGGAGGTATGAAAGGCAGTGATATTAATAGTAAGAAAGGGAAGGCTGAAGTGGACATTACAAAGATCAATCTATAATTGTGTATAAGTTTGCAGCAATGGGTGAATTTAAAAAGTCAAAGTATCTCAAGAGAAAATAAATGAAAAATTATGTACAGTAATAAAAGGAAGTCAGCAGACAGGGAACACAGTAAAATTGTCTAAGCCTTGATTATCTAAATCATTGGAGTTATATTTTTCATGTAAAAAGTAGAAGGAAGATAAATCAATTGAATCTATATAATATTTTATAAATCTGAGATTGGACAGAATCTTTTACCTACTAACACAACTCTCTGTTCCCCTCAAAATAAGAGTCATAGGGCTAGAGATTTAGCTTAGTGGAGCTATGCCTACCTTGCAAGCACAAGGTTCCCAATTAGATTCCGTCTTGCAAAAAAAATTAAAAAAAAATCATAGCTGCACACATAGCTATATTTCCCAGAATCCTCTGTGGTTAGGTCATGTGGCTCGGCGCTGCAACATGAGAAGTGAGGTAGGAAAACTTTGGGTCTGAATTCTTAAGGGAGTTTGTGTATGTACTCCAAACTTTCTGTCCCCTTTTACTTTGAGAGATGTGAGATGCAGAAGCTAGAAGCAAATTGGATTCTAGTGTGACTGAGGAGAAGAGAATTGAATTCTGCTGATCTGAACAATCTCCCAGAACATTGACGTGTAAAGATGGAAATATAATATTTCAGAAATACATGGTATTGTATAAACTGATATAGAAGAAACATTGATATCGAACACATCAGCAAGGCATAATAATAAATCAATTGAAAAGGAAAATGAAAATAGCAAAAATTAGAATGATTCTTATTATTGCTTCAATTAGGCAAAGCTCCAAGATTCAGCATTGTCATAGTTTTACAAAAAGGAATGCATACTTGTACATACAGGTTACAGCATGCACATTAAGAAAAAATCCTCTACTATCATCACAAAGGTTAAAATCTTGCACAAATAATTTGGGTTACCACTTGGGTTGTGTTACTCTAAGCTAACATAGGAGGAACCATATTGGATTCATTGCATCACTTCTAAAGGAATAATTTCTGGGCATCTAATTTTTGTATCTTTTACACTGAACTACAGACCTATCACCTCACACCTCATTAGGCCTAGAGAAGGAACAAGTTAGCTAATCATTAGCCTTAATGATGCGTGTAAATGGGCTGAGTTGTAGCCAGGCTGACCTATTCTAGGGAAAGGGCAACCAGGCCATGGCAGTTGCTTTTTGGCTTTAAGAAGATAAGGATCAGACCCATTGAAGCCTAAGGGTAGGGGAAGGGCAGCAGTTCCTCTTCATTTTGATATTTTGATATTTATTGTTGGCTCCACATATTACAATCCAAAGTAGGGTCCAGGCCCAAAGACAACTGAGTATTTTCTAGGTGGATAAAAGAGTAACTTGAACACTGTATTCTTCTAGGCCAGAGGGAAAGAAGAAATGGACAGCACTGGGATTTTAGGAGAGAATTGTTATGCAGCCAGTTCACCCACTCTCCCCTACCTCATGCCTAACACATTCCATTTTTCATTGAAACCTCTCTGTTTTCATCATTAGGTCAATTTCTATTTTTCCCTTCTGGTTTATAACAGGTATTTTGTGGTCTCTTCCACAGTTGTTACCACAACTACAATAGAATTATCTGTTTGTCTATTTCCTGCACTGGACTGTATGTTTCATAAAGGTAAAAAATGTATCAAACAACTCTGTGCCTATATTTCCTTATCAGCAAAATGACAGTTATAGGAAAGTACTAACCTCACAGAGTTGTTATGAAGGACAATCTGATTAATCCAAAGTGCTTTGAATCGCACTTGACATCTGGTAGGTGCCCCCAAGCTATATGTTGCCGTTGCTGCTGAATGTTATTGTTTTAAAAAGTTAAAATCTACCTCCTCGCATAAGGAGTTCCAACTGATTAATTAAATTTCTAAAATGTTAAAGATTTGGTTGTTCAGTTTCACCAACCACATTTCAAATACTCAGTAGCCACATTTATTTTCTCCTGCATTGATTAAAAGAGCCGTGGGACACTAGAACATCTGCATCTTCCCTGAGCCTTGTTAGATTGGCAACATTCCTTCATTTTATCAGGTATACTCTGCTCACTCCTAAAGAGAAAAGAATGAATTAGTTTCATCCATCATTTTATTTCTAGCAACATGTTTTATTGATTAAATAAGCTCTACAACAAACAGTCAGCTTTACCTATAAATCCCCCCCATCCTTACAAAGCAAGCCAAACTTTTCCTCCAAGCATCAGATCTATAAATCAAAGTGCTATGGGAAATCTCCAGTGGACAACTCTTTAAAGCTTCACATTAAAACACGTTCAGAATACCCTACCATCTTGTTTATTGCCCATGCGCAGTCACTTGCTTGAATCCTTGAAGTGATATTTTCCCCAGAACCTGTTGCTTTCTTCTTTGTTTAGGTACTTGTTGCAATGGCGTGTTCTTTTCCCCTTTATATTCTGGTGTGGCCACACGGATATTAGGGCAGTGTAAGCTGACTTTATGCATGTAATTTTCAGTCAGGAGTATTAGGAAATAGCTCCACCTCCCATAGGCTGTTTTTACCCTTCCGTCTGATGGATTACAATGATTCCAAGGTATTAAGGCATAGCACAGCCACTAGGTGGATTATGTGTAGTCCCTAAAATACCACATTGAAGAAAAGACAGTCATGTCAGGAACATCTGCTTTGGAAAGTCATTGAAATATAACATTATATTCTAGCAAATCCTTGAAATTCAGAATTTGTTTGTTATAGATTCCAGCCTCATTTTTACTAGTTATCAACATTCCTCCCTCTGCGAGCCCTTGTTTCAAATTCAAATATAAATTATTCAGACCGTTAACCAAGTAAGAGTGTCCTAAGTATGTGTGCACTCTTTATTCCCACCTCCACTCCTCCTAGCTTAAAAAAGGGCTTCATTACCAACTGTCTTAACTGATCCATCAGGCCCCAGATACTATCTTCTCATCTTGTTCCACCAGATTCACTTTTCATTCAGACATCAAAATGATTCTTCTGAAATCTCAGTTCAAAACTCTGGCTTGCTCTTTTAGCATGTTGAAACTTGAGTTTCTTAACATGCTCCTCAAAAATGTGTATCTTGCATCCCTTCCTACCACTTGTCATAATGTTGATTCCCTTCGGTTCAATATCCACTTCTCACCTCTGGGACACAATTTAGAATTTTTGATTCGAGAATGACCACTCAGTCTCTTGCAAAAATAGGCTTCTTTGGTTTTTGTGTGTGTTTGTTTGTTTTTTGGACTTATTTGTAATTTAAAATTATCTGCAACATGAATGAGGAACCTCCCTTCCACTTAAATCCCCTAGAACAGGGATGGCAAACCTTTTAGAGAGGGGTGCCCAAACTACAGCCCCAAACCCACTTATGTACCACGAAGCACCAGCACTGCAATTAAACCCAAATCCTGAGGTTTTGGTTTATAAAAAACAACTCATACATTAACATTTTTGTCTTAAAACAAAAATAAACAACATGCATGCCATAGGTTTACCACCACTGACCTATAATATACATTTTTAAAAATTTAATTTTATTGGTACATTTAAGGTATACAATATAGTGACTTTCATCATTGGAAATTTACACCTTTACATAATCCATCTTGGTTTTTATTTTTTCCCCATTCCCCTGTCCTCCTTTCACTATCTCCACCCCTCCCTAACTACAAAGACTGTTTCCATTTTTTCTTTTTCTCACATTAATTCCATTCCCTTGTTTCTTTTTTCACTTCTCCTTTTCTTCCTATTTCACATTATCTATTATATTATACCTTTTAGTCTTTATTTACATTTTCAGCTTCCCACACTAGAGAGACTATTCAGTATTTACACGTGTGTACTATATATTTCACTTGAGAGTATCTAATCAATGTTCTTCCATCTATCCATAAATGTCTCTAGTTTCTCATTCTTTATTGCTAAGTAGCTCTCCATTATATATAAAGGTGTTTTTTTTTTCTTTATCAAGTCTCCTGTTGATGGACAATTGGGTTGCTTCCAAGTTTTAGCTGTTACAATTTGTGCTGCTGTGAACATGGGTGCACATATATCATTGTGGTATGATTCTTTTAATTCTTCGGGGAAGATACCAAGCAGGGGAATAGGTGGGTCAAATGGGACTGACTGGGCAGTTGAGAGATGCAAATGAAAACAGCACTGAGATTCCACCTCACCCCAGGAAGAATGGCTATAATCATGAATCAACCAATAACAAATGCTGGAGGGGCTGTGGGGAAAGAGGAACCCTGCTCCACTGCTGGTGGGAGTGCAGACTGGTGCAACCACTGTGGAAATCAGTGTGGAGATGCCTTAAAGAACTAAGTTCGAAGTCCTATACTATACATTTTTATTAGACTGAACTGTACTATTGATGAATAAACTTCATTAAAGAAATGACTAAATGATGTCAGGTATTTTCACATTAGGTTGTCCAATGCTAACCTCATCTCTTAAAAAAAAAAAAGGAATAAAATTAAGTAAATAAAATAATGTAAGTCCTTAACAAAATATTGTACAGTACAAGTTTAATCAAATGACCTTGCCATTGCTTAATTTAATTGTAAAAAAATTTGTCAAGCCAGACAATATTTTAACTATCTACACATACAAAACTCTAGTAGATGCCAAAAAAGTATTTCTCTGCCTTTAAAAATGTAAGTTTTTAAATTAATCTCCAAATCAAATCGTCAGAGGTTCTTAATGCTTAGTTGGACTCCTTGAAGAGAGAGATTAATTGTTAACATTCGTGTGGATATTTATTCAACAGCACGTTCATTGTTCCAAGAAACTACTCAGAATATGTGGAGTCATAGTTTTACCAAAAATATTTATCTTCAAAATGAAAAAGTAGTGTTTACTAATTTTTGAAACAGCATAAAATATATTTAAGCTTAAATCAAAATGTAGTCCCTACAACATTCATGTATGTGTTAAAAACCACAGATTTCTACATTTTCTGCATTTCTTACTTTAATACAAATAAAGAACACTCAAGTATTTTTAGGCAAAAACCGCTTAAAATAAGATCAGTCTTTTATGTATCACCCATGGCTACAAAGTTGAGCTAATTATGTGATACTTCTTATTTATTTATTTATTTTCCTTTCAAATGCCAGTATGAACTAAAAATTTTGTCTAGGTTGTAAAATGTGAATGTTCCCCATGCCGACATGATCTACATTTTGGAAAGATATTTACTGTGTCGCAATGATTTTATCAATCTTCATATATATACCATCTTCCAGTACCCTCTCTCTCTTCCTTTCCAATTCTTACTGTGTATGACTCCAAAACAAACAAACAAAAGCTTCAGTGGCTATTGTATCTAACTGAAAGAAAACTTGCCATTTACTAAATTAAGCAGACAATTCCAACGCTATCTGCCAAAATTCCAGTGGGCTGTCCCAGCTCTCTCCTTTTTTCACCCGAAACACTATGACCTCAAAACACGAGGCCTCTCGTCACCCCTCCGCACCTTCTCACCTCCGTGGCATTGCTCCAAGATGTCTGCTTTGCCGGACTACCCACGCAGCCATAGCCACCCTTCAAAAATCAGAACAACTCGTCTAACATGGGTCTACGTCAATTTTATTATATATATAATTCACTGCTGAACACTGAAATCAGGGAGTGCAACGCCGCTCACTGACCCTCGCGGTTATGTTTAACAGGATCCATGCCTGGGTGCATGGTATTTCTTATTCTCACATCTTCCTAATTATAGTAAGTTGTGTCCTTTTGATACCAGTGAAATTTTAAAGGTCATCCTTAGAACACCAGACCATAAATATATGAGAGAATATTTGTATTCCTAGTGGAGCCACAAGTGTCTTAAAAGAAGGAATTCTGTCTTGCTTTAAGCTTTAAAAGGAAAATAATCCTCAGATATAGTGCCATGAACACAGTAATGATTTCAACATGAAAAACAAATAAGCTTATTTAGCAAGCAATGAATTATTCAAAGTGAGCAAGAGAAAAGACTATGAAGAAGCCACAGGCTGAACCAAGGCCACTTTTTCCATCCAGGAGCTCTTGAGCTAACTGTGAGCTTGCTAGGCTCAAGCCTGAAACCTGAGCAGTATCCCTGGCATGTGGTCCGCCCTGGTCCTTCAGATTCTTAATCCAACCAAAACCTCACTGATGTCACCCGCTGCAGATGTCTCAAATGTAGCTCATGCTCTCCTTCAAATCCAAAGCACCGTCACCTCTAGACTGGACATCGTGTGATAAATATTTGAGATTTGACTATCACAAATGTAAGATGGTATATGATCTTTCTCTTTGTGATGTTGCCTGTGGAAATTTTTCATTTTCCCACAGAAAAGACAATTCCAGATAGGTCTGATCCTCAAGTCTCTTCCTTGGCTTCACTTTAAAATGTTTTCTGTTCACTCTGGGTTTCGATTATATCAACATTATTTTCATCTTGCATTTTCTGGTCTGATGGATTAGTCTAAATTGCGCTATCACAGTGCTTTTTCACTATGTCTGTCATCTTCACATAATTTATCATGGTTGTAATGGTGAGTTTGCTTTTAAGAATATTTGATATTTGATAAATGTGTACCTCCCTACTGAGAGATAGGTCTCTGTTGGGTGGAGGCAAAAGCTATTAAGTTTTATTAATAGATGCTTGCTTAAAATGTTTTTAGTGCTTCATAACGATTTGCTAAATTGAAGAATGAAGAATAATTAAACCTGGATCTGTTCATTCTTTTGCTTATGGACCTTTCTTTTTCAGGAGGTCATGTTGGGTTGATGAGTCTGTCTTGTAAACTATAAGCATATTTACACTGAATTACTATGGAAGTAAACAAAAATAGCTACGTAAGGCACAAAGAAATTCTTTCTATTATTAGGAGTTACAGACAAGTCAGAAAAAATTTCCCTAAATCTTAAAGAGTGGAGTAGAATGCATTGAGAAGAAGTGTTTTGGGTTGTAAAAAGGACAGCTAAGTCAAACGCAGACATCATATAAAATGAAAATTCACGAAAAAACTTTGACTGTGTGGGGAACTCACATTCTGAGAAATACAAGCAATGTGTCCAGAGAGAAGTTTAGTGCTTAGAAGGGAGCAAAAAAGTCAAAACAAATGCAGCCTGTTCATAAACAGACATGGCATTTTCTGTTTTGAAAATTTTGCTTTATCTTAATTGTCATAAATACAGTTACTTAGCTGTATAAATAAAACCTTTTCAGTTCATTTTTTCTTGAAAAAGACTTCCAACTCAAATATATGTTCTAAGGCATATATGATCAGGTTTTTATAACATTAACCATTTATTTTTTATATAGATATATTTTTCAGCCAAAAGAACAATACTAAAATTGCTGGGTTTTTGTTTGCAAAGTAATTGTGCATTTTTGGGCAAGAATGTCATAGTAACTATTTGTCCAATAAACATGGAATATACCACTCCAAGTTTACTTAGAAAATAAATTACTATCACACATCTTGTGGTTACTAATTTACAGTAAGATTTCTATTGCCCCAGCCTTGCATTTCTTACCATTACCAACCCTTTCCTTAAAGCACATAGACACTCATACAAATGAGACATAGAATCTCACAATAACTGCTGCATCTACAAAGAAATGTAGTTAGATTCTCAACTATTAAAATCATCTAAGGATTTTTGAACTAATTATCCAGCACCACACTCTGTTCTTTGACTTTTTGTTTAGTAAAATAATTTTGGTAATAATTTTGGTAGCATGAAGTTTTAGTCAGTGGCAGCAGTTACAAAATGATTGAAAATCATTTGGGGTGATTAATAGCACATTGAAGAGTAATA